TTTGACTCCTATGAAACAAAACATAAGACCTCAAAATTATGCTCATTTAAATAAATTGTCCCATAAAAAGATAGTTTTTAACAAATCAAAGCCTGTAATATGTGATAGTATAGGTTATGATAAAGAAGCTCATACTTTATTATTTGTGGGCACTTTGAATAACAACCCTTTGTCTGACTTATCTATCAAAGACCTTATTATAATTTTAATCTCAATCATCTCAATCTAAAAATATATCTGAACCGTCCAACGCTGCTCTATCAAATTTGAATAACTTACTTTATCAACCCAATAATGGATCATCAATCCATAATACTTCAGTGGAATTGCCGCAGTCTTAGAAATAAAAAAACTGATTTGCAGTACATGATTAATATGTACAATCCTATAATAATTGCATTACAAGAAACTTGGCTACAGCCTATTTCTAACTTTAATTTACCAAATTATTTGTCTTTACGAGAAGATAGAACTGATAGCTATGGTGGTTTTGCATTATTCATTAATAATACTATTTCCTTTAATCACATTTCCATAGATAATCATAATAGTGACTTTTTAATAATTGCTGCTTCTATAAATAACATTTGTTTTGTCTCATTATATGTCCCTCATCCTTCATCTTCCATGAAATAGAAAATATTCTTTCACAGCTACCAAAGCCAATTTCAATAATGGGTGATTTTAATGCCCAACACCAATCTTGGGGAAGTTCTTATTCGTCTTATTATGGTACCAGGATCTTAGATTTCATGGACACTAATAATTTTTGTATTTTAAACTCTGGAGTCCCGATACGTCGTACTCTTCCTAATAAAGGAAATAGTGTTCCAGACCTTTCAATCTGTACACCTAATTTAGCTTCGATGCTGACTTGGGATCCATATAGATCCACATTTGGTAGTGACCACTTTCCAATTTTAATTTCTTTTCCGAAAGCTCTAATAAATTCGCGTAATAGACGATCTCCTCGTTTAAAATATAGGCTAAATAACAATAACAATGACGGAGTTGACAGATGGAAAATGTTTAGGGAGTTAGTTGAGCAAAAATTGACACTTCTTCCACGAGTGCCTCTAAACAGCCAATCTCAGTGTGCCGATGCATTTGCCTCAACCTTAGTAGAGGCTGCAGATGATATATTCCCTCATAAACGACATAATACGAATATTCCATCTCCACCTTGGTGGGACTCTGAATGTACGGCGGCAATAAAGAGACGTAAAGAAGCTGAAAAAATATATACACAAAGTGGTACAATAGATAATTTTGATAATTTGTCCCTTATTATATCACAAACCCGTAAATTACTTAAGAAAAAAAAAATGGGAGGGTTGGAAATAATTCTGTACGAACCTAACTCCTGATATTCCTCCATCAGTTATATGGAACAATATACGTAGATTCAGGGCAGCATTTAAAGAACCCGTTCCTCATTTTATTGATAAAGAAGTAACAGAGAAATTCTTAGTTATGATATCTCCACCTTTCGCCTCACAACAATTCACTCCGCTATATAAATCATTAGAGAACATAACAAATAATTTAACTGGCCTCAATGCTCCCTTTAGCCTTAATGAAATAAAATGTGTTTTATCCTATGTAAAAGATTCAGCCCCTGGTTGTGATGGGATCCCCTACTCATTTTTAGTCCATTTAAGTGATGCAAGCCTTAATTATCTATTACAACTTATTAATTACATCTTGATTTCTGATAGTATTCCTCTTTCGTGGAGAACTCAGGAAGTAATTCCTATATTAAAACCGGGTAAGTCTTCTTTGGACCACAATTCATATAGACCAATAGCTTTGTCTTCAGTAATTTCAAAATTAGCCGAACATTTAGTTAAGAATAGGTTAGAATGGTTTGTTGAAAGTAAAGGTTTGTTGGCATCTAGTCAATATGGCTTCAGGAAAGGTAAAAGTGCCATGGATAGTTTAGGTATATTCACTACAGACATCAGGTTAGCATTTTCCAATAATCAATCTGTCCTTGCTACGTTTCTGGATATATCTGTTGCATATGATAATGTAGATATCAAATCTTAAGAAAGAAATTGGTAAAATTAGAGGTTCCTCTAATTTTATTATTAATTTTCTTTCGGAAAGAATGATAATAATTAAAAATGGTGATAATTTCAATAGTAAATCTAGATTATCATGGCAAGGACTTCCGCAAGGCTCGGTTTTGAGCCCCTTGCTTTACAATATTTACACGTTTGATTTGGAATCTTCTCTCGCAGACTGTGCAAATGTATTACAGTACGCAGACGATTTAGTTTTGTATACATCTGGACGTTCTATTGTCGAATTGAGTAACTCTCTAAATAATGCATCAAAACATTTAAAGTCATGGTTAGATGAAAATGGTTTAAACCTTTCTGTTTCGAAAAGTAGTGCTGTCCTGTTTACAAGGATGCGTCTTCCTCCACCATTCTCAATATATTATAATCATAAAGCGATTCCAGTAAATAACGAAGCAAAGTTTCTTGGAATTATCATCGACTCTAAATTAACTGGCTTATCACATTGTTATTATGTTACTGCTCGTTGTGAACGTTTATTAAACATCTTAAGGTGCCTTTCGGGCATTTGGTGGGGTGCCCATCCCACTACACTTAAACTTCTTTACAATGCCATTATTAGAAGTATTCTTGATTATGGGACCTACTTTTTGGAACCATGCAGCATGTTAGGATTAAGTAAATTAGACAGTATTCAATCTAAAGCCCTGCGTATCATTACTGGAGCCTTGATGTCAAGTCCCATAAATGCTCTCCAAGTTGAGTGTGTAGAACCCCCCTTAAAATTAAGAAGACAATTTTTATGTGACAAATCTCTCTTTCGTTCCTTCCAATTTTCAAATCACCCTTTATATTGTAAATTACAGGATTTGTCTGAAAAACTTGAGAATTCTTCATACTGGAGACACAAATCCCCTCCTTGTTTAGTTATTAGCTTCCGTAAATTTACTTCTTTACAAGCACCTACTCACCGTTCACAGTACCTGCCTATTTTTTCAGTAAATTATGAATCTCTTGTTATTGCTCCGTTCAGTACAATCTAGACGTTGTTAAAAATGACCCTAACGCTAATATTAATTTTAAATATATTTTTGATACAGAATGGCCTGGTTGGCATTATATCTATTGCGATGCGTCTAAACAACATATATCTGACTTAGTTGGCATTGGTGTTTATCATGAACAATACAATATAATTCAAAAAATAAAATTACCACCTGAAACTTCTGTTTATACAGGAGAGTGCTATGGAATTTTAAAATCATTAGAATATGTTTTACTTGCATTTAAACCCTGATCCTATTATCCTTTCCAAATTCCGCTCCTATATTCCATTCCTCAAAATGATTTCCCTACCTTTTAAACCTCGTTGTAGCTAATGCACAAACCGTGCAAGCCAATTAATAAAAAAAATATCTGTTACGGTTGAGCGCGATTGGTTATAGTTATATTGGAGCAGATTGGCATGTTTAAAATACAAGTGTGTGCATATCTTTTGTATAATTGGTACAATATTTCGTCTGATGTATGGCGGACGAAAAGTGGGGGCAAACAAAACTGGCAATATCAGTTTTCGTACAAAGGATGCATGATCGCCTTTCTAACCTTTTTTTCTGTGTATGGATCAATGGAAAATGATTCATCAGACGACAGAATAACACACGGGTGACTATTAACGAAATACTTAAGAAAAATGTATTAAACTGAAAATACTCAGTGGACAAAACTAAATCCGGTCGATACCTGCTCTTACCTACAAATTGAAGAGATTGCAGAATATCCGTTAGCAAAATTTAATCTCTGACAATGCTGAATTCGGAAAGCAAGAACAGCTGACTGCCAAGGTGCTTTAAGGATAAGTAACAGAATTTTGTAGAATCAAAGCATCAGGCTGTTTTAAGCCCTTATTATATAAAAGTCCAGAATAAACGCGAAATGAAGGCATAGTTATTAAACGACTTTAATAAAAGGACTTTTATTTTTCTTTCTTTCTTTTTTAATAAAAGTAGTTGATTCACATTATTTCCAACTTCTAATAAAAGGATACATTCATATGTATTTAAACATACTTACATTTACTGGATATTTTCTGTTACTTGCAGTTCTAACATGCCTTGCCTAATAGATACTATTGAACTAACACCATCTACTTTCAGTTTTTTAGATAGTAGCCATTGAATATATTGTGGTAGTGATTACAATACACACTTAGTGAAATTCATTTATTACAATTTATTAAAACACCATTATTTTAAAGTTCCTTGCAGAAAACATCCAAGTAGAGTTATTAATGCTATACCTTAAATTATGTACCCCTGAAGAAAATTGAAAAAAAAAATTGGATCTAGTTTTTGGCATTGTAAAACACTGAGTTATATCACTATTAATTTCAAAATCTTATTTATGAAAGTTAAATTACGTTTTCCTAAAATATTAGAAATGGTTTAACAATAAGTTGATTTTCTGTATTAAATGCTAAATAGGCTATTATTTTTACACACATAGTTTAAAACAATAGTAGTCTAATGTTGATGTAGATGTAATCAGTGTTCTTGTCTACAATATGAAATTATGAGATCACAAAGATCTTTAAAAAAAATTCCACCAATAACCATTTTCTCACATCAGAATCGACACTTGAATATGACTTAAGTATATACCTAGACACTAACTTAAGCCTGATACTCATTAGCGAGCTGTAATTAAACTGAATAGATACAGCAACTCAAGAACTTATTATATGTCATTCTATCTAGAAAATTCCGAATAATTCTTATATTTATTTGTGAAGAATATCTGTCCATATCTGGCTGTGCCAAGACCTACCTATGATGCATCATAAAAGTTATCGCACTAGTCAATATAATAATTTACCGTTACAGTTCGCTAATTATAAAGTATACAGCTTAGGACGAATAAATTAGTTCTGGAATTATATTACTGCTTCCTATTCTAAACATACATAGAAATAATTACTTATTCAAATTCATCCTCTTTCATAGTGTCTGGCGGGCCTACGTCCAATATTTCATCTCTATCGAAAACGTCATCTTCGAGTACCACTTCAGATGCAACAACATCGTCTACCATGATTTCCTGTAGCTCCAGAGATTCATCCTCGATATCCTGAGTCTGTAGGAGGGTTGTATTTTGTTGCATTTCAAGCATATCCTTTTCCAATGTTTCTTGTAATGCAGTTAAATCTTGCTCGAGAGAGTCCTGCGTATCTCTATTTGGCTGAGTCTCTTGGGGGTCTCTATATATAGCATCTAGGTCAGCTAAAGTGTAAGGCATATCTTCGGAGTCGTCCAATAAGCGCGAGGGGCTGGACTGAGAGGCAGCTCGCGGGGCCGGCGCGGGCTCCTCCCGCACGCCGCCCCTTGCTTCGTGTTATACTTTCATTTTCTTCGGGCCTCTCTTCGATGCACGCTCTTTAGCTTTCTCATACAAAGGCATCAGTTTCTTTTCTTCTGCTAGTATCCTCAGCAACACTACAATAAATGGTAGATAATTATGACGCCTACGGGCCATTTCCTGTTGATACCGAGCCATTTTGACGTCCTCGTATTCTATCAACATACGTAACCTCGGTATTTCTGTTTCGAATTCATCAGTCTCCATACCAAGCATCTGAGATGCATTTAAGAGTTCTTCCAATTGGCGTTCGTATATCATTTTTCTGTCGGATACTATGGCCATCAGATTGAAGTGTATCTCACCTTCGGTGTACCTATAATAAATAGTTTTTTCACTATAAAATGTATTTAGGATAATGATTGCTTAAAACACTATGAACAAAGTTAGCCAACGCTTAAATCGGCGTATCGACTGTAAATCAAGAAAGTGCATATGATTTCTAAATATTTATAAATCAATCAAGAACTACAAGATCAATAAATGGAATACTGCACTACACGCGTTTTTTTCGTTAGTAAATACAATTCAGTCGTTTTGACATTCTTAAGACCAGTCATATTCTACAAAAAAATTATAGGGCCATAAACACGTTTCAGTCGTGGTGCTGCAGTCCGCATTCAAAAGTTATTTATAAAAAAATCGGGTCAGTAGTTTTCGAGCCTTTGAATGCAAAGATACATTATATTAGTTTTAAATAAATAAGAAATCATTGAGTGTATCTTTTTCAATTGTTCCTACCTCAACTGTGAATTATTGCATGAAAGAAGCAAGATGTTCTAGTATTATTTTTTCTATTAATATATGAATGTCCCCAAATAAATGTAATAATATATGTAAATACTTACACATTAATCCTCTTCATGATTATAGGTCTGACGACATCTAGCCAATCTTGTTCAGGAGCAATCGGGCCATGATCAATGGGGCCTTCTCTAAGCCCATCAAGTTCATAAAGACGTCCATCAATCGGCATATAGCCTACAAAGTGGTACGCATCATCCTCCTGAAAAAAAATAGAAGTGTCGATAATGTATTTTTTTTAATGCTTGAAGAAGTGATTTTTTTTATGATAAGAGTTTACCTTGCTAGCTGCTTTTGGGTCAAACTCAAAAAGAGTTTGATTTGTCATAGAATTGTGTGCAGCACGAATAGTCTGGGAATTGCTGAGAGTCAACCCTCTCATTTTGGGGTCAAATGACATACTGAACTCTTTTAGTTTCGTCAACTCTTGGCCGAGTTCTACATCAGGATGATTACAGTTCAGCAAAATACTAACGACAGCCTGTGTCGCGCACGCGTTATTTATCACCTGAAATCCATATTGTATTAGGTAAAGGTAAAAAAATATTAATGTAACATCACCTACTTTAAATATTTGTTACCTGTTTTGCAAAATAGATTTTATCAAGGCGATTGTCTGTCACAACAGGTCCAGACGGATCTTCATGTTGAATAAATTTAAAGAGAAATATGAGTCCATGTACTGGTCTGTAAAAAAATTGATATGAGGTCACTGTAGATAAATGTATTACAGTGTTCAGTCTTCATACAAAAGGCAGGAATGCGAGTTATTACTCGCGTCTCGAGTTTAATATATGCACTTAATATACAGACAGTTGCAAATGTGCTGCTGGACGAGTGAACGATGCGATTTTTATGCAATAAGAATCGACAAATACGACAAAGACTATATTGTGCTGTTTTTGATCGAACTAATTGTTTAATAACGCACCGAGGGATCGCATAATTAACTTTACCTGGAGACTCCGAAAGGTAAAACTATAAAATAGTTTTTATATACGAATTCGTTAATGGTTCACCCTAAGGTCACAGTCTAGCCTAGGGCGGCCAGATATTTACAGATATTTCAGTTGGGGAAAAAGTTTCTTTGTATTGTATATGAAAATTAAAAACATTGAAAATCAAAAAAATTACAGCCCCACCAACTTATCTGTGAAATGGAGAAAATGGGAACTACGGCCGCCATGTTGAAATGTCATTCGATTGTCAGTGTCTACTACATTCGGGTGCTCTGCGTTTTCTGTTGCGATATTTCTACATTTTCAGCGTTTAATATGCCAAAAGCGATTAAAAGTGATGCGCGAAGCATCATTCTTAAGGTCAAAGCCTTTTTTGAAGAAGAAGCTCGGGTGGAGGCTCCGTTTATTCCATTTAATCAAGTATACAAACGAATTTCGGCAGCTACAGGTTTGTGTTGTCTATTTTCGTTTTGTAAATTACACGATATTTTTTTCATTGATTACTTTTTAACGTAACTGTAACTTAAAAAATATAAAGTTGAGCGATTCAACTACCTATAGTTCTCGTCACGTAAAAAGAACGCTGGAATAATCTGAGGGGCTCTCCCGCATAGGTACGTTTGGCTTAGCGTAAATTTTTTCCACTCCACTGCCTTCCAGCGTTCTTCTTACGTGGCGCGATTTGTACGCAAGCCGCATAAAAAATTAGTTACTCATACTTACATTTAATATTTTAACTACAGTATGTAAATACTTAATTAATTTTGTATATTTCAGGTTTGAGTCAAGGGCTAATTTCAAAAATAGTTAAAGAAGGGCATGCAGCAGAAGAAGCTGGTACAAAAATTCGGACCCCAGGCAAGGAGAGGAAACGTCAAAGTGGGTTTATTCATGTCGATGATTTTGACATAGGAGTTATCCGGAGGAAAGTACATGAATTTTATTCTATTAAAAAGGAGTTACCGACTGTTAAGAAGCTCCTAGAGGTTTTAAAAACAGAAATAAATTTATTATTAAATAAATATTAAATATTATTAAATATATGTCATGTCCTACAGGACACATCTTGAGTGTCTAGATATTTGAGTTTTGTTTAAATAGAGAAGCTATTACTACACTCAGAAAAAAAATGGTCGACAAAGGAACAATAAAATTATTGTTACTAATCTATAGTCACAGAAGCAAAATATTTTAATACACTAACAAAATTAATTTTGTTAAATACTACATGACTTTTATTGTCAAATATTTATTGTGAATGCAGCAGGAAAATCTACGTAAAATAGCAAAGTTTAGAAGCTTTGTTATCTTTACAATGTTAACTATGTTAGAGTGTTAACATATGCGTATACATGATAACAACATTACTTTTAATAAAATAAACATTGTTGTAATCTTTATAAATTGGGTTGCTGATTTGACAATATACTTTAAACAAAACAAACGTTGTTATAGTGTTTGTTTATTGAGTCGCTAATTTGACAAACCACGACACAATAATAACACAATGTGCGGTGAGCAAAGTAACAAAGTCGCTAATCGTAGCCATCACATCTTTCTTTCATTTACTCTCGAGAAGCCGAACCGCACGCGAGTGTTAATTTTTAAACAAGTGTAAGAACAGGAAAGATGTGTTTGTAGAAGAAGTGCACGTTTTTAAAATGCAAGAATTGACAACGTTTTTAAAAGAAAGTGTCTCGGAACAGCATACTGGCCAATGGAATCACTAACAAAGATTATATAGAGTATCCCGCCCTCACTCTGCCTAACGGTCATGATCTGGCGAGTTGTAAATATTTATTTATATTTAATGTTTGTCTATTTTTTCATTTATTTTGAAATTAAAAAAAGTACTAGAATTAATATTTTTATTCATTTTGTATTTATTTTTAGCTTACCCTGGACTTTGAGACAATGTACCCAAATGCAAACAGAGTTTGAAGAAAGATTTCCTATAATAAAAACACGACTTCTAAAGCTTATTACAAGGCAGGTTTGGTTAGAGTCGACCAAGCCGTTTTAGATCTTTTGGATTTAGCTAGCGGTAAGTTTCGATTTCTGTAACAAAAACAGAGGAAGAAGTGCGTTCGTGTTTCATTGGACGCGTGGCGACAAATTCGGATATCGAACGGTATTGTACAGATAGAGAGGCTTTATTGGCGGCGAAAGGTATATAGGTAACGGAACAACCCTACATTCTTGCTGTCAGGATCTCGTGGGCTTCAATAACACAGTACAACGTCATTATTTACAAAGTTTTAATTTAATAATTTAACAATGTGTTGTGTTGTATTTGTTTGCGCAAGATGAATAATATGCGTTGTTTGATTTACAAATCTTAAATTAATGTCGAATATTTTTTTGTACAACCGAAACAACTTATACTATGTTCTGATTATGGCAGTCGTTTAAATATTGTGTTTAATCACTCAAAGTTCTGTGATTTCGACAGACAAAATATCTAGTGTCTAAAAAGGAATTTCTAATTATTATTAGAAATATACAAGATCCAAAATGTAACAGTGACATATTATAATTGAATAATTATAAATTTTCTTAAGTTTAATACCTTTTTAAATTTTGATTGTAGTGATCAGTTTTTATCATTTTGGTTAGTGGATTGGATGATAGAGGTATGCATTGTTCTAGCAATATTTATAATTCTTAATGCAAAGGATTCCTTTAGATGCATTTACCACTTCCTCCACCTTAACTTTGCCCATTATCGTCCACTCCGTAGAAAGCATTAACAATAGAATATACCTATTTAGCTATAAAATTTCCTGATTATGTCTTGTCTCGTCTCGTTTCCTCAGCAATGTAACCGACCTTTTGCATTCGCCCTATTCAGGATTAACGCACCAAATCTGCCGTTACGTCAAATTTATTGAAGTATTTAGCATCAAAAAATTTCAAGTTATTGTACCAAAAAAATACCTGTATCGTTTAAGAGAATATAGAGTTATAAAGTAACCAGCAGTCGTCACCGATGTGAGGACTGCTGGTGAGAGTGACCAGCGGTTCTGCGATCAGAACCGCTTATTCTGCGATCAGAACCGCTTATTCTGCGATCAGAACCGCTGGTCGGGGCTGCTGGTTACTTTATAACTCTATATTCTCTTAAACGATGCAGGTATTTCTTTTTTTTTGGTACAATAACTTGAACTTTTTTGATGCTAAACACTTAAATAAATTTGAGGTAATCCTACACAGTGCGGCAGATTTGGTGCGTTAATCCTGAATAGGGCGAATGCAGAAGGTCGGTTACATTGCTGAGGAATCAAAATGAGAGTAAATATGAGCACAATCTTAAATTGCTGGGAGAACAAAGTAAAGTACGTGTAAATACAAGGCTAAGTAGTCGCGGGAACAACGTAGAGTAGGCGTACAAACAATGTCAGATTGTCCGAGTAACAAATGCAGGCAAGCGACAATAGCAACATTACGTTGCTCAGAGAGAAAAGAAAGAGTACACATTTATTTTTATGACAATTGTTGTAATGACAAATTATAGTTCGACAATAAAAACTTGGAGATGGTAACTAAGCTCCTTTGTCGGCTCTGTGGCGTTAAAGTTTTATTGTCAACGGCAACAATATTTTTTTCTGCGTGTAAACTATGGGCTTTTTGTATCAAGCTTGTTACTGCTGAATCCATCTAAGTAGGTACTTATGCAAAATGCAGAATTAGTTTTTTTTTTAAAATATAACGTTTATTTGCAAGTTATTAAATTGCATTTGCCTACTTAGCTGAACATTTAGTTTGTAAGTGGGGTACCTACATTATATCAATTGAATGCCAGAGAAAAATCTAATGTATGTATCTACCTACATTAATTTTCTTATTTTTGAAGACTGTTTAGTACTTTTATTACCATTTTATTATTATAAAACAATGTTAGGTATTGTCTAAAATAATAATATTATGTTTATATGTTTACCTAGTTTATTATCTGACATACCCAATCATGGGTAACTTTTATTAATTTGCAACACTAAAGCGACGGTGTCGCTACCACTCAGTTCACAGATAAGTTGGTAGGGCTATACCGTACCTACTTTGTTCGATAACTTTTTGTCATCTTATAGGCAGGGACATCATCTTGATAAAAAAACCGCTACAAGTGGTTTTAGCAGTCCCCGCGTGATGTTAACGTGACACTGCCTAAAGGATTCTAAAGAAACCGAAACAGGTGGAAGATCTGAAGGTGCAAGGTCAGGACTATACGGCGGATGCATTAACACCTTCCAGCCAAACTCTCTTAATTTTTGCAGAGGGGTAAAAGATGTGTGAGGTCTAGCGTTATCATGAATAAAAGTAAGAAAAACAAATGACAATGAGACATTTTCGAATTGAATTCGGAGTTATCTTCTTTAAAATATAAACTTACAGAAACCGCTATAGCCGGAAAGATTTTATTACAAGTTTATGCATACTATATTGCGAAAAGACATTTTCCCCAACCTAATATAACAAACTGTAATAAAAACGAGAATAAAACTGCTATTAGTTCATATACATTTCGAAGTCATTTAGTAGAATAACGAACAATTGTTATATATTGACCAGATGTTTGTTGTGTCAGATGCAAAGTAATTCTTTTGTAGAGCACAGTATTCTACGAGTGAAATGCATGAAAATATGGTAGCAAGTGCCTAAATTATGAGAGTTGATAAAGGGCGGCTAGTACTATATCGCATAGGGCGGCCGAGTTTGCAAATCCGCCTGTGCATTGCTTTATAATTTTCAATGAAAGATAAATTGTTGGCTTAGATTATAAAATATTCAGATACATTAAAAAACTTACGACAGTTACTCTGATCATCGTATAATTTTGAGTAGATAATTAGTTTTTTTATACATTTTGGATCACTGTAGGATATTTACATAATCGTAAATATTGTTTCAAATAATAAATTATAAGCTAAAGACTATACCTTAAACTTTCAAAAATTCCATCTTCTATAGTCCACAATTCTTCTACTTGTACTCCTTTGGCACCTATAAAAGAACAATTATGTGTTTCAGAGTTGGGCCGACTAGTGGGAAACCAGATGAAATGCTTGTTCACTAATCGGTAACGACTAGTGATCAAGCCGGAAAAATATGCCTATTATAATACACGACGACATACTAATGACTATTGACTGATGTTTGAGAGACGCTCTCTGACGAAAAGGTTTTTTTTTTATTCCATCTCACACAAAAACATCAGCTTTACATATCATAATAAAAAACATCATATTAATGTTTATGAAGATTCATATAATTATTATTTGTAAAACTGATTTGTAAATTTGCTTAAAAGTCAGCTATTCAACCTTTTTGTAATATTATAAAACTATATAACTTATACAGTGTGAAAATAACTATTAAATGGTATTATTGCATCATGTATATTTTAATGAAATAATCAAAATAATAATTATTATTAATTTAATGAATATAATAATTATTATTATTATATAATAATTATTATTATTATATAATATATAATAATAATTATTATTATATAATAATTATTATTATATACAAGAATTTTGTACCTTAAAAATTCAATGTTGTACCTTAAACTTTAAATTTGATGCACAGACTCTCATAAGATTAATAAAGCACTGCTACTTATTGTGATTATTCTGAATGATAACTATAATTCACAACAATGACTTTATTATTACAAATTGCATAAATTTCCCTATCTATAAAGATAAATTTGTTTACATAATCCAATACGCTTGATGGCAAAACTCATGGCCATCCTCATTAACCATACATTAGGAAGACCCGAGCCCCTGCAGTAAGGACAAACAAGTTGATGATAATGAAAAAAAAAAAATACTATTCTGACGTTTTACTTATACAAGTTTTAAAATTATTGTAATCAACATTAGAAAAATAAAATAGGTTGAAACATCAGGAACAGAGAATTTTCTTTGGATAGGTAGAAATACTAAAGCAGCAAAAAACTGATGGACAGATGAAACATTTGTAAAGTATTAACAGTTTCTGGTGGTTGCAATTTTTTTGTGGCTAGTACACATGAATTTATTTGTGGTGAGGTGGGCCACTACTAACAGGGTATAGAATTTACTAAATAATTATACTTTTGGCCATTTCAATCAACTCCAACAGTATGATGATATTTATCCTTTTAAGTAAATTGTATATACAGACATATGTGATTTTGTAGGTAACTCAAATGTTCATGGTCATTAAAAGTAACCAAAATATTTTTGTCAACTTAAATCCTGTTTACTAATGGGACCACTAGTGACAGAGTGGAGAAACCTTTTTGTCTGTAATTTTAATGATTGTGTAATCTGTTACACGAAAATAGACTGTAATGTTATATGTGGTTTTTAGTTCTTCATATGAAATATAGATGACACTTTATTATTTATTGCTTGATAAGTCTGCATACTGTTTCTAAGGAATATCAGGTCAGGAATGATTTGAATGTTTAAGTTTTTAAATAAACCCTATTAATTTTGGGATGTTAATCTTTTAATCTACTTCAAGAATGCTAGAATTTATTTTTTACTACACAACTTACCAAATTTCCGGATCAATTGAGTGAATACTCCAGGATCACTTTCTATTAAGCACCAGTCCCCAGCAGTATCCATGTTGTATTAATATGTGCCTAATTAAAAGGAATTATACATGTAAGTAATTTTTCTCCAATGAATTTTCTCATACAAAAATAATTGATACTTAACTGTGACAATGACAGGTTATGTCAGTACTAATGATGATGTCAAAAAAATTGTCCCTAACACACGCACTTGACCCAATACACTCCAATTAGTCATAAACCAATAATATAATTCAACATGCCACAGACCAAATGAATAATAATTTAATGAATGTTTAAAGCCCACTTTTGCCTTAATGAATTAATGATGATGATGTCTAACATTAACTCTATTATATCTCCTTGCCATTGGTGTATATTTTCATTTGCCCATATATAATGAAACTTTTCAGATGATAAAATAAACCTGACACTGATATATAATATGTATAATAACATGAGGCATTTAATCAAAATTGAAATCAAAGTATTTTTTAGCTCTGGACCTGGAGTTAGATTTCGAAGCTCTGAATTCAAACTTCAGAGTTCTGGAATTATGGAGTTTCATTCTCTTAAAGAGAAAGAGATAAATGTGAGGTGTGGTACATAGGCGTTTAAGTCATTTTGTCCTTTTTTTACTTACATAGTTTTGACAGATCTCTTTCACAATTTGTAAGCAGAGTATTTATGCAAATCAATTAAAAATTAATACTCATGGATGAAATGTGACCCCTTAATCTTTAGACTACTTGCTTAAGTAGTTTATACAGTTTCACATTACACAGGACAGAATTTTTTATTATGGTACATAAACACACAATCAATGCTTTTGCCAGACTGCGCTCAGTAATCATAGTTTTAAAGAGAAATTTTTTGAATACAATTAACCTACCTTTTTTTTGTAATATCATTGTCACAGACCATCAGATGTGTGATTAGTACAAATGTAATTTCAGGATTAGTTTGAGATGTGCATGTTTACTTTAAGAGGTCTGGGACTTTTCTAAACAATTTCTACATGTAAAAATTATACTTATCTTTGCAGATAACTTTCACTTATGCATTGACTTAAGGTCTTTTTAATCAATTAGACTATGAATTTCTTATTTTGGGTAAAATTTATGAAATATTGATCCAATCTAACAATTACAATTTCAAGACCGAAGCTGTCATTATTATAGATAGGGTACCTATGTACTTTAACTCAAAGGCACAAAGTAAAATAAATACGTAGGCATCTTATATATGCTAGTATTCAGAGCTTACCCCTTGCCAAGTATTTCTATGCTACCATAAGCTATGCGTCCATAAGTATGTGGAAAATGCCTCACTTACAACAAAGAAAAGATGACTTGACATAACTAATATATCCCAAAGTAGGGATGCCATCGATGTTTGATGATCATCGATGTTGAAAGCAAAAATATCGATATTTTTAATAGAAAAATAAAATAAAACTGCCTGTATCGATCCCTATAAATATGCGGTAGATAACTCGTGCCGGCATTATTTCAATGACTAGTAAACTGGATACGAGAGCGATCGAAAGCGAAACTCGAAGTAAATACTAGCGAAGTGAAAACTATGCGGACGATCTAATAGTGTTGTGAATAACTTCACTAAAATCACATTAGTGAAGTTCAAGTGTGAATTTATGTAGTTGGATTATTTTTGTTGTTTTATTGTTATAAATAAAGTCAGATTGTAAACTATGCTTGGAGTTAATTTGTATTCGAACCCTAATTCGTAACAATGTCATGATATACATATTTTTACATAAAAGTTTTCAAAAGCTGGCTTTACTCTTTCTCAACAAAAAAATAGATAAAAATTACATTTCCTTCTGTCAGTTGATAAAAAATATTGAAATATGTAATAATTTGTTCTGTTTCTTAATAAATTTTGAATGAGTATCACCTCTGGGTATATCTACTTCAAAAGTGACTGAAAAATCATTTCAAAGAATTTCTTTTAGAAAAGCAGAGTGTGTGTGATACCTAGGGGGTACTCGGTGACGGATTTTGCTATTTAGATTGTGAAGTGTGACGCGTATTTTCTCTTATGTTAATGGATATATGCAAGTGATTTTATGTATATATATATATATATATATATGTGTGTGTGTGTGTATATATATATATATATATTATTGTATTGTATATATATATTAAATTAAATATATATATATATATATATATATATATATACATATATATATATATATATATATATATATATATATATATACATATATATATATATATATATATATATATATATATATATACTTGTCCACTGTATCGTACGTTTCAAGTATCGTACCTTTTGTTTATTTCGTGTTACAAAATATAAGAGAGGTGTATGTTTATATACATTTTTGTTATTTCGGTACTGTATATTTATATATTATTTTTATGTATTTTTTTAATATGCGGCGCTTTGGCGTCTCATGCTCCTCAGGGTTATGGCAGAATATCAGGGATTTATCTCCTTGTAGGCAAATCGTATGCAGCAATGCAAAAGGGTCAAGGCTCAGGGCCTTGACCCTTTTGCATTGCTCAGCTCACAACTCGACATATTTCTTGTTTTAAATTTTAATTCTGTTGCTTTCTGGTTTATTTGTTTTGTTTGTTTTAGTATATTTAAACTTAAACAGTTATAATTTGAACGTGTTGCTGGCAATGCAAATAAAGTTTATTTTTATTATTATTACTAATTTATATTGCCGACATAGTGATTTGCTTAATAAAATTAATACAAACTGTTGATGGTTTACACGTAATTAAATTTAAATTTTAAGCGATTACGTGTGTGTGTCGCGGGGCATCACGAAAATAACAAGTTATATTTACAAATTGAGTTTAGTATTAAACTAGTGATATAGCAACATTAGCATTACTTTTGAACTAATAAAACATTATGATTCGTTTTATTTATGATTTATGACTCGTTTTTTGCTGATGGTAACTAATCTGGGTAAACGATTGAATGTACCAATTACCGCGAGTTCAGAATCACTAAGGTGAGGATGAAAATAATTTATGACTATCTTGGTTTACATTACCAATAGAAGTTTGATCAGAGACCAATGTAGTTTAGATCGTTATAATCTTAGGGCGCCGTTTTTTTCTTTGGTGCTCAGGAGTCAACAAATAGGTAAAAAAACAGTAAAAAAACAGCGGCCTGGTAACTGAAATCCCTATTATAATTTTGTTGTAAGTGAGTAATGAGTATAAAACCAAATTGGGGGACTTCTGGAAAGAAAGACTGGCCGAGGAACGGCGGCCACTAGGCAGGTTGATGAGTTGATATGGTTCGTACATGCTTGATGATTTGATAAAGGCTTGGCCTCAGGGAAGGCAGGCTGGAAAATTATTGATTTGATAAATAGGGTATTTGACCCTATTTCTCAAAACTATCTTAAATAGTTGTGTGATACATTATAAGCACTCAATATATTTCATAAGAATTTGCTCTATTTTCGATGAAAATTTAAAGTTTAAATAGCTAACATCGCACAAAAAATGCTGCTCTATGTAATTGCCATCACATGCCGATAAATATGTCAAAACCTATTCCTCAACTATCTATTTACGAAGTAAAGAAATAGTATTACAGAAGAGAAATTGAAGTAAAATTGTATGTTTTGTATTTGTTTCTGCTCTGATTTTGTTTATAAAAATGAGCCACAAATTATATGTGTAAATAAAATTTTACGAATTTCTTATAACACTGTTTTGACATGACAGCTTCCTGTTTACGTGTGATGTCACATGCCGGTAAATAGAACTTGTTATTGGTTGCGACGACAACCAATTACAGGGGGTTTTCATCGTTCATTAAAATTCCTAAAAATGTTGCATTTTCTTTACGGTATCTTACTAAAACTAAACATATCTTGTCTGCAGATTCTAACAAATAAACTTTATTGACCATGAGGATGACCATAATACGCAACTTATTTATAATAGTGTCAAATTTTATCGCTCAGTCTACAGTCGTTTTAATTGAAATTGACGGTAATAGTTCGATGGCTGCTTCGGAAATTCAACTTTCGATTTGATACCATCATTCGTTCTTCAAAAATAATGAATTATTGACTGATATTTTCAATTTTAAAATCTATATAGTAACCAATATCGTAACAGATTGATGTCACCGATTTAAGAAAATATAAATAAATCAGATTTAATTATTTTTGAAGAACAAAAATACTGGCAACGTTTATTATTTTCCGATAGCCGAGTATTGATTCATAGAAATCATTGAAAGGAATTTTTCGATGTTTCTTCATAGATTAAATTAGGTACGTCATCACGTCGTAGAGATCGTCGTCGATCTCCATTGTTTTTGCGTATGTGATGGCACGTTAAATTGTCTAAAAGCTGTAAGCTTCTTCAACTCTGTTACTGTAGTTTGACTGTCGAGTATTCGATACCTTCAATAACAACCACGTGCGTAAATTACGTGCATGAGTTCTAGGCGTGCGTAGAACGATAGTAAATGTCGGGATTTACAAATTTCTACGTTTTGTGAGAGACATTTTCTTCATGTTTTGTTTTCTACTTAAACCTAGATATATCGCATCGAAGTAGTCGATACTGATAATGCACTTAAAATTTTTATGGTAATTTTATTATTATGGTGTATAAATTATGTGTAAAATCAAGTAACTCACTTCGGCCTGATGTTTGATTGGGCCCTGACCTTACACGTGGTGAGGTGGTCACGTGGTCAAGTCAGGGTGCCATAAATTTCCAGATGCGAGCGACCCCACTCTCGATGACCAGCTACCGGTTAGGTAGCGGTCGAGTTGTCTGACGAGTAGACAAGTTTTGACCTTGTAACGCTAAAGAGTGCTGCCACAAGAATATCGAAGATGATTAGTTAAAAAAATGGAAATTATATTTAGTGCGTCCGTCAGATAAAAGGAAAATATTAATAATTTTTTTTTATTCTTCAATTTAACAAGAAATGGCTTCGATAACAGGCATTAAAGTTGATGAGTGGAGGCTCGCTACGTCACAGTTTTGTAGAAAATGTACCAAAGCGTAACGTCATGTGACATTCTAACCCAATGTATCGCCATAATTTAATGATTACGAAAAAATTAAAAATACATGTTTAATATTTTTCAACAATCTACCTGACAGATATACACTAGAAATAGTTAACATCCCTATTAACAAGGTAAGAAATTCTGCCACGATCATAGACTCTTCCTACCTCCTGTATGTTAGCCTTGAATTACAATCATCAAGTGAATTTATATTGTCATCTTATTTCATCGGTTTCGTGGCTTATGTTTGTGATGGGAACAGGATTATATCTTACATGTAAATTGTTTTGCAACGATTTAGTTTAGTTTTACTTGCTTTAATAGGGTATTTGACACTTTTCTGAAAACTATTTTAAATTGTTGTTTGCTACATTATAAACACACTGTCATAATATTTCGTTGGATTCTTTTCTATTTTCGTCACAGACCAGTAAATATGTCAAATCGATAAGAAACAACTGTTTTTAGAGTAAATTGAAATACTAATTTAGAAGAGAAATTGAAGTCGTAGCGCGTATTTTTTACGTTTTTTTATTTTCCTCTGCTCCTGGTTTTCTTTAAAAAATGAGCTACAAGTGGTGCGTAGTGCCACAATGTACTAATACTTCTATAAATAACAAATAAACTTCGAGTCTAGAAGAAAATAGATTCACAATCACAATAGTACAGTAGCTATATAGAGTAGAGATGGATGATAAAATTAGGTAAGGATTCGCTAAAAGTATTGAAACTTTTTTATTTTCTATACATTTGAAGGTTTTCTTTTTGTTTTTTTTCTTTGCCATAAACATTTTACGACTCATTTATAATTGTTGACAAGGCTCGCACTTTACAGCCTGTCGACGTACAGATGGATGAGACATTAGTACGATAAAGAATGTTCTATTTTTTTTTATACATGCATGTAGTATGTCTGTCCACTAAATGCAAGGCATTTGATAATTAGATATTAGATCCCGATGATTTTTTTAAATTAGTTTTTAACTTGGAGAACAGTATATATCATCAAAATCGACTTTGTAGTTTTGTATTATTATATTAAAGTTCAAGAAATGAGAAAAACATGTAAGTTGCTCTTTTTAAATTGCTGGCGTTTACCCTATTTCTTGGATTTTTTAAAAAGCTTAGTAAATGATTCTTTCTTTCTGTATTTCTTTTTGGCAGTTCTTATCAGTAGAAGCGGCAAAGTATTATGTTATTAGTAAATTACTATAAAGTACTCGATACCTACAGGCATCGATATTTTATGTATCTTTCTAACACTACTTTGACATGACAGCTGATGACGTCACAGGCCAGTAAACAGAATCGTGATTGGTTGTAACGACGACCAATTATAGGACGTTTTCGTCGTTGAATAAATTCCTAAAAATATTGCATTTTCTTTACGTTATTTTACTAAATCTAAACATGATTTTTCTGCAGATGTTAAGAAATAAGCTTAATTAGATTATTATCTATCAGGATGACCTCAAAATGCAACTTATTTTCGATAGTGTCAAATACCCTATTGTATTAAACAACGGTTTAGTTGCTTTAATTGTATTGAAGTTTTAATAATCAATCGTAAGTTATATATATATCAGACTTGTGTTATACTATTGATATAGCCAATAGCAATACTTTGTTTACGGAAGAAAAAAGCAGGTACAGGCATAAAAAAGGACGGTATTGCTTAAAATTTTGTTGAGAGTGCGCTCTCTAGATAAGTCTCTAACATAAAGAAATTAGCAGATATTAGCGACGGGTTAGCGATACATCATCATGCGAAGGTGTCACTGTATTGTTTGGTGGGACTTTTTCATGAGATGGGACAGACTAATATTTTAGCTTTTAGTTAGCATTTTAGACAACTTAGAAAAGAGTAAATAATCTTGTGAATGTGAGTTTTTGTCACCATTGTTTATAGATTGTTTATCACACACACATAAGTGTGTGACCAACCAAGGGCAACCAAATACCGATACAAAAACTTACTTAACGATACTACTTGTTACCCGGTTTAAATCGATATAAAATACGTGGTACCGAAAGAAAAGAAACGAATAAGTACTTGTTTTTATTTATTTACTCGTAGGGCATCCCTAGAACCTTCTGATTTGATTTACATTTTCTTGTTCTGTGATTTACTTTGTGTCATTGTGTTTGCGAATTAAGCAGATATATGATTACTGTATTCCATAGATAATACGTAATACTGTACTGGTACTGTACTCTTTGCTGAAGACTTAGGTACGAATAGAATTTAGGACTGTTTTGTATGTCGTAAACCATCATAAAATTTTGTGAATTTATTTTAAATATAATGTCTCAATAGAAAGAATGTGCCCTTGTATTGTAACTAATACATTTTACTAAGACAAGCAGTGATCACATTTCATTAGGTATGTAATAACGAGTTCCGTTAGCAAGGTTTTTTAATCGCTGCATACTATTAACTTTAAATCTTAATACCGAATTAGCTTTTTGATAAATACTCAAGGACATAAGTTACCGCTCTAATGTGAACTTGAACTTGACAGTCACTGAATCAGTAGAAAATATTTAACCTAAAGTTTTATGTTCCTATTACACAATAATTAGGTCGGGCTACATTGTGTAGGTATGCTTTTCTTTAGCTTCCGTATTCGAATCAGGCAATTGGACTGTGATCATAGAAATTCTTGAGAGTATATTTGAAAACATGTGTATGGTTTATTACCACTACATTTTATAACCAATGGGTTCTTTTATTATTTAATAAGTTTATGATATTAATGTTGACGTTATTTTCGGAAATTTAAAAACATCATATATTTTAAGACATAGGCAGGGGAGGGAGCTTCCTCTCTAGAAAAGCCATCAGCAGTTGCAGGTTCACCTGATAACCACCTATATGTACGAAATAGTAATTTAACAAAAGAACTATGTATTTTTCCTTTATTTAATACTTGGAGAAAAATAAAACTGATGGCAGTTTAATGTGAACATATGATAGTTTTAAAATACTTTTCCTAAAACACTCAATTAAGCAATAGAGGTAACTGATAAAATACAATTTTTCAGAAGAAGTGTTCAATTTATTTTTTCAACTTCAATCTAGACACTTTTAACTTTTTTTCTTTTTAACCTTTTGTGAAATGTTTCTGAAATAGTGTAGATTTCTGGCTTAACTTATACAAAATTACCTTTTTTTAGGAAGTAATTTAAAATTCATTAATTTTTTTTTGTAGTATGTATTACTAGATTCCTATAGCATAAAAAAAAAGATGAATTTGATTATATGTGTCGAAAATATTTTAATTTATAGTATTATTTTTTCAGGTAGAGCTAAACCAAGCTGGTATACAATTAACAAGATTAAGATTTGGGTTTAATAGGGACTGGTAAGGAGTTTAATAATCATCATATTCACCATCAAATAGAATAGTTAGAGTGGACTATGAATTGCTATATAGATTGGTGTAGGTGTTAACAACTACAAAGAGAACCTGGAAATAATACATATCTGTTCTCCTAACCAATAATCAACCCTGGTATTTTGTCTCACCCCTGTAACTTGATTGAGACCTGAAAATGTGCCATTTTGTTTTAACTTATATCTTACATATTTACTCTTATTTATGAAAAGAAGAAATTAGTTCTTAAATTTCTCTTATGACATTTGTTTCCTTATCTCTGTATTTATCTGGTGAATAATAATGTTTTTTAATGTTTTTTTCAGGCATAACTGAAACAAAATGTGGGGACTCACATTGTCCCTTTTAGGCTACTTAAATATAAGTCCAGTGCCGTACTTAGCAGACTGTGTAGGAACTACAGAGCCAGCATTAAAACTGCTGATTTCAATCTTAGCAGCTTACCCCATGGCTGTGATGTATCACAGATACATAGTTACACATAATAATTTAAGAAATATATTTTTTATAATTGCCGGTTTGGACATGGCATTTTATAACTTTGGACTATCAATGGTTCATAACCTGATACCAACTATTGTGATTTATGTATCTACCATGTTCTTGCCTGGCAAATTTAATGTGATACTTACATTTGTATTTAATATGGCATACTTACTTATTGGCTATATTGTAACAGAATCTGAAGATTATGACATAACATGGACTATGCCACATTGTGTGTTAACTTTGAAATTGATTGCATTATCATTTGATCTGTGGGATGGAGAGAAAATGTTGAAAGGAAATGAAAGACTTTCTGAAACAAACAAGAAAACTGCTTTAGTGAAAGCACCTTCCTTCTCAGAATTGATTGGGTTCATATATTTTCCATCATGTTTTTTGGTGGGACCTATTTTTTCATTCCGCCGTTATTCTGATTATTTAAATGATAAGTTTCCACTGCATGAAAAACATGTATACAACAAAGTGGCAATGAAGAGGCTGGTGCAGGGTGTTGCATATTTGATTGCTTTTCAAGTTGGAGGTAATGTATTCACTTTTTACACAATTACTTTTTATACAATTTTTGTTTACAACTAATTTAGCTTCAGTCAACAGCATGTCAGGTTATACAAAGCTTGTATATTTCACCCACTTGATTTTAAACCATATTAAATATGAATGTTTATTTACATTTTCATGTTTATTTTAGTAGCAGTAAAAAACCTTTGTGTACAGTCATTAGGTATATCACAATGTATTATTAGATGTTGATAAAGTAGAACTGGGGACAGCATTATAACACATGTAAAATATTATAGTAGGTAAATATAAATAATAAAAACAAATTTGATAGTATGTAAATTCAATATTATCTTCAAAATAGATAATGTAAAAATCAATGCCATATTGACAACTAAAGGTGCCCATAATGTTGTATCAATTGCTAAATTAAACATATGTCTAAACATAAAAGCAGATATTTTTAAGTGACGTTTTATGTTCCCAGTGACAATATTCAACATGAAGTACATGCTTTCGGAGGAGTTTTTGGAGACGTCCATATTTTACCGTCATATCTACTGCGGCCTATGGGCGCACTTTGCCTTGTACAAATACATTTCATGCTGGCTGCTTACGGAAGGTATGTCAATTATTTTGTAATCATGATCATATTTATATTTTTAAAATGCAAACAATATCAATTGGAATTAGCATCATACTATTGAAATAAGGTGTAGATAAAAATATTACAGCAGTGGAATCGCAATTACTGCTCTTCCGGCACAATTATTCAAGCATAAAATTGGCTCTAATAAAGGTTAATGTGATTATTCTGCAATAGGATTAAATTAACCTTCTATTAACAGTTAAGCTGCACTTTACCTGCTAAGATTTTTTGGTTCAAGCTTTTAGAGTTAGAAAGCACCAAATTATTTAATCACTATCTTTAATTGTGTTTGTTACATATGAATGTTTTTTTTAATTGGATCACAAAAAACATATCTGGTGAAATATTTAAGTAGAAAGATAAACATTTGTGTTATCTCTATTTATATGGTATAAGCATAAAGAAAAGAGAGATATGCAGTGGTTATTTGATAGTATTAATTCTTTTTAATGAAAAGCAGGGTACCCCAAGAATGCAAAATTTATTTAATATTAAAATTGTTATTTAAATGTGGCGTTTTTATTATATGCATGATGATTTTGCGCGTTTTACTTACCTATTAACTTACACTGCCTGTTTCCATGATTGATTGAATCAAATGAATGACTTCCATTTTTTTTTACTTTTGAAGATGATGATGTCTAGTGATGTCATCAAACGCTACTGTTAAAATCATGTCAAAACTGAGTTTATGATAAAGAAAATTGAGTTCATAGCAATGGTTTGCTTGCTTGTTATATGCGATCGTAATGTGAATTTAAGTTTTGCAACTGCTGGTCTTCTTACCATTTGTATAATCAAAAATCTGATGTGATACATTACCTTCTATACGCGCGCACGCATTAGCCTATTGAAGACGTGAGTCGCAATGTAGGTTTTGAGTTTATGGCTATAAGTAATCCGGGAGCATAAACGCAATACTGTATTTTCAATTGGTTAAACTAGAATCCAATAGTGAGAATATCATTAGACTGATAATGATGCATGATAATGAAAGTTCAAAGTGCGATTGTTATATTTAATGCTAGCGCGACGTATATTTAACTTATTATCTATTGTATTGCCAAGTGAAGCGGCGTACTATTGTTATACCTCAGTTGATGATCTTTGAATATTGCAGTAGAATTTTACATGTTAAATTATTTAAATTAAGCTTTAATTATATACTTATATGACAGCCTCGACTCGGATTTCGCTATGTGGTTATTCTATAAATGTCACAACTCGTCGTGAACGCTTCCATTATAGCCGAAATAAGAATTACAGTATGTGGATATTTTACTGTGACCCTTTACATCGAAGTGAATCTTTCTACATTGTTGGTACTTTCTTTTATAAATTACTTTTCATTCCACGAAAAGTAATTTATAAAAGAAAGTACTAATGTTTTCTAATTAACCACGAACACGGTTTATTAACCACGAATGAAAAAAAGTATGAATTACGCAAACGCAAAATCTAATTTAAGAATTACTTCTTACATATAATTAAGAACGCAAACTATTTATTTTTTATTCAAATTCAAACAAAGAACATAATTTTTTGGTTATAATTTTTTCTCTTAAAACTGGCGCCATTTAGTAATGTAATATAATAATAAAATTGTTGACCATCTACTTTGTGCGAAAACCATGATCTACAATGCTGTGAAACATTTTAAAACTTATAACAGCACTTTCAATAATCGACGCATGCCACGACCGAGATAAACATCTCTCCGAGACAACGGAATCACAATTACTTTGGCGAAATTAAATCCTTTCAAAGGGTCTAACGAGATACGAAAGTAATATTTAGGCGAAGATAATACCTCTGCGATCTCTGCTCGCGCTTAACATTTCAAATATATTATCCACATTTAAAAGGTTACTATGTGCTATAGTTTCAGGTATACAATCTGTTCTGATGTAATATGATAACCAAAGAACGCACCAGTCGTATTCCTCACGTTATCAATGTTCACTGAGGAAATGAATTTTAAGGTGCTTTTTATGTAAATACGTGTAGTATAATTTTAGAAGACTACGCAAAAACTCCACTTTTAACTAAATAGTATAATAAATGGTTGTAGTTTGGAAGCTTCTTAAGGAATAATTTAAAGAGAAATAGTAATGATATAACTTTTCCTCATACAAGGGTGGTAGACGCTGGATCAGTTATTATTAAAAACTTTTTAAATACATGTTAAAGTTGATACAATATATTATTTTCTTTTATTTATGTTTTAAATATAGTTATAAAATCTTTTAGTGTCGCTCTCGTATGTAATTAATTTGGAAACTTTAAAAGGCACGTTAAGAGGTTGGTCTTGGTCGTCGCTAACACCGACCAATACGCTCTGGGTCTACGTGGTGTTATGCGTGGCCCGTTTTTCCTATTTGTATCCATATAAAGGAGGGCTTCTTCCGCAACAGGGGCCATTAACAGGCTAATGATAAATCAATTACTAATAAAAACAATGTGATACTATACAACAGACCTGGTTCTATTATGGACATGGTAATATTAAAAGTCCTCATTGCTAAAAATAACAGAATATCACCGAGCTTTTTCGCCTTGCCCAAAATAAAACAAAGTATGGGAAGCTGACTGCCAACCTTAGCTAGTTAAGGACCACACCTTTAGAAGAGGAAGATGCAACACACACAGAACAATAGAGCGAATCAAACTTATAAATTAATAATAACGGTTTAAAAAAACACTATTAAATTGAATTGTTGAATATTGCTTGTAGTTTTGAATATGAAGCGACCTCTGAAAAAACTCGACTTTCTGTATTCTGTACACTTGCATAACATTATACGAATTAATCGCTTTTATTAAGCTAAGCGAATTCTGTTGTTCTATACTACTGTTGGCAGTATATACAAGTTTTTAAATGTCCAAAGCCTTACTGATAAGCAAAGTGTTGTGTAGTTTTTAACTGTTTTTGTCTTTTTCTTTTGAAGTTATAGTCACATTAGTTTAAAGTTTCATATTTGTAACGTTACTAATGCATAAATGTAAATGCTATAAAAATGCGAAATGTTGTATATCTATAAATTAAGATGTGAAGCAAAAAAATTAGACCTCTTTTTACGAAAATTGCGTGGACGAAGGAGTATGAAATTTAACACATATAAAGTATATATGGCGAAGTATCGAGAATGTTATTTTTTTTCACTTTCATGTTACACAAAACTATGCGTGCTAGCATATAAATACGTAATTTAATTATAGTTTGTATTTACTTACACATTAAAGACATTTCCCTGAAACTTTCCAATGTCAAAGGTGAATAATTTCACGACTGATAAAAATATATATATTTTCAGCTTCCTGTATACGATTCGGTTTATCGTACAACGGCTCCGAGAAAGACGGCAATGGCGTTATGGTGTCTCAATGGGACGGCTGCAGCAATATCAAGCTGCTGCGATTCGAGTTCGCCACAAAGTTCCAGCATTATATTGACAGCTTCAATTGTAACACCAACCATTTCGCCGCTGAGTATATATACAAACGACTCAAGTTCCTAGGCAACAGGCATCTAAGTCAATTATTCACTCTACTGTTCCTCGCACTCTGGCATGGTATACGCTCCGGATACTATATGACGTTCTTTAATGAATTCATTATAATTTTCATGGAGAAAGAGCTCGAATCTATCATCAGTAAGACGGCCACGTATCGGTGGCTTTGGTCCACTTACGCTAAATATCCAATGTACGTTTTATTAAAACTGTACACTATTGTCTTTATGGGGTGGAGCTTGGTCCCCTTCGATGTAAAGGTGTTCTCCAAGTGGTGGACTGTTTATTCGGCGTTGTACTTCTCCGGGTTTCTTTTGTTTTTACCCTGGGCTATAGTTTATAAGCCGTTGCTCCTTAATTTAGTTCGTAAAAAGTCGGATTAGAGTATTCTGTGAAATTGGTTTTACTGCATCGTTTCGAACGACATTTTGATATTGATACATTGAGCGTCGGTTATACCGAAATATTTTAACCTCGATGTTACATGTTACTATTAGGACCGGCGCACATATGCAGATGCGCAGCGCAGAGCATGCCCGCGAAACTTTCTAAATGAATGAAACACTACGCGACAAAAGGCCAATCACTGAGCGACCGCCCTTGGATGCTAGACTTCGCGAGTCCACGCGGGCGTGCACAAGACTGCGTATACGCGACGCACCATACTCATTCCTTTTGCGTTTTTTCGAGAGTCCATACGTGTACATTAGCGAATAAAGTTATGGATTAGGACTTGCTATTGATTATATTATTTGCAGAAGAAGAATGGCGTGCCCAGCGGCCGGCGGCGACCGAAACATCGAATCGAGATTTCGCATGAACTCGCTACGATGTTCCTCGGGAATAAAGTGTTGTTATTTGATATTGGATTTTATTGCAATGAGGATAATGCAGTAACTAGTTCGACGGTAAAAAATGGTCTTAGCTGTGCTCCGCCATATATGCGCCGGCCCTTATGTTACATATTTATATGAGGACTCGAAAAGTCTAGAACTAAACAAATAATATTGATATGAAAATTAATTACCAAGTTATTTGATGTGTATCATTACATATATAAAATCCAAATAGTTTTTTACAACAGTTACATTACCGCAACCAATCTCCCTATTCTCTTCTGTCGCTTAAACTGTCATTTGCTAGAGCGAGCAAAATAGCTTGTCGTCTATGGCTTCAAGGGTTCTGCGAATATTAATTATTGTTTGTTGCTTGTGATTGTACTTAAAACGTCGTTCTTTAACTAATTAAATTTACTATTAAGCGTCTTACAACTAGTCGCAAAAAGTAAAAGAGCTAATCTGAACAAGTCCCATATGATTTTAATGTTTCATTAGAGTTTGAAGTGCCTTTCCAACAAGCTGTCAGCAAAGACAAAAATGCCCACGTTATAATAATACTTCATAATTGAGGCGTTTTTTCTTCGCACTCTGTGCACTCGTTGTCCTTTCGCTTCGCTGTGACAATCCAACAAGCCAGTCCAGTATTATTAGAAATCATGCTATTTCATTGTACTGGCTTGATTACTGGATTGAGCCTGGCCTGGCTGACTAGACAGTCTCGGTTACTGGCCTCGTGTAAATGGTCCATTATGACATTGTTAATACCTACTTCGGTAAAACGGACGCACTAGTAAACGGTACAAAGTCGATACTAATTATCTAGCGTTTTAATTATATCAATTCAATGATGTTCGGAAGCAGTATATCGATTTTTCTGAATTATTAAGTTCCTTGCTGTATAACAGCATAAGAAAAGGTACAACTTGTGGAGTTCGATAGTAAATTAACTTCTTGTTTTCATCCAAATTTCTCGGCTCCGACAATATATAATAACGCTTTAACCAAAAACCAGTTCTTATGCTTAATATGATTATGTTGTACGATTGGAGTTGCTAAATAATGAGTTTTTCTTGTCATAAATAATTAATAATAAGGTATTGTCGACACCTGCAAGGGAAAACACCTTAACTTGCTTTTTGTAACTTAAGGAGTGAGATAACAATTTTTTGAATAAATTACTAGGTATAATAACTCCTCGGTATAATAACTAATAACCCTTCGGATCTCCGTAGCCGAGTGGTTGGAGTGCTGGCTTCAAGGTGTAGCCATTTCTGAGGTTCGATTCCCGCAGAGATCACTGTAGAAAATTGACTATTTTAAATTTCTCGGGTCTGGTTGTTTTGGTTCCATCGTTGTCTCAGATATTCCATATAAGGGGGGCTTTAGCTCCTCATTTTTTAATCTGAGCAATGTATGTGATGTTGTCTAAAAATTAAATACAATAATAACTTATGAAAACTATATGTTTGATGTCAAGCAATTCAGTTACGAAAAAAGGGCAAACCACTAATAGTTTTTCCTTGCACGTATCGTTGTGCTAGGTGTAAAGCCAGGATTACATTTGTAATATTTTCCAGCATATTGGGTAAAGGTATTTAGCGTAAAATAAAACGTACTAAAAAGCGAGGACAAATCTTGCTCTGAAGGCGCTTATGGCCCGGGAGCTGGTGACATAAAAGTACAAGAATTTTCTAATGATAAATCGCGATCTTTTTTGTATCAAAAAAGCAAATGTAAATCTGGCTTAATGTTTTGTAACATGATAATAGTAATTGGAGCCTGTTGCATGCATATAAGTACGTGAACGCACACATATTTAATATCAATTAAATCGCTACAACAAAATTATATGTGTGGCGACTATTTCTTGCATCAACTAAGATGGTGCTATTATTAATGATGATAATAATTATGTGGTACATTCAACTTACAGTACTCGAAACCAAAGTAGATAAATTTGTGATAAGTTATTAAAATCGAACGAACTGATGTAAAAAACCTTAGTCACAAAAGTGTCGGTAATGTTATCATAATAATGACCGTTTGTATATCATAGTTTGTATTGTCATAATATACCTATTTATGATGTGGTGTTTATTTTTCTTGTTCAATCATTGTCAGTTTTGTTATAAAATGGGGAACTAACTTTTGTATGAGGTTTCAACCATTAGTCGACCAAAATAAGTAATACTTCTCAAATTGACCTTTTGTATGAGGTTTCAACCATTAGTCGACCAAAATAAGTAATACTTCTCAAATTGACCTTTTCTATTCTAATGTCATCAATTTGCTTTAGACGGCAGACGACATACAGGGTTAAAATCCCTTTGGATTTTAACCCTGTATTAACTTTTTTCCTCATTTTATAATAAGGAGGTGTATATCTAAATATTAACAACACTACCACAAATGATGCTATGAATACGAAAATCACGAGTAGTGGATATTTTTCGAATATTCATATTCGCCGATTATTATATATCCCACTAGCTTTCGCCAGGCTTCGCCCGCGTGGACCCTAGGGAAATGTTAAGTGGGATAAAAAGTATCCTATTATCTAAGTCAGCTAATACCCTATCTGTATACCAAATTTCATCAAAATCCGTTCAGTAGTTTCGGCGTGATTGACCGACAAACATCCAAACAAAGAAACTTTCACATTTATAATATTAATAATAGGATTATTATAAACTGAACAGATATTAATATTGCCAAATGTTAATCTTTACAAGGAAGACGAAACCATTAAGATTACAATATAGTTTTGATGGTAGTGTATAAAGTTGCAGTCATTCTTGATTGGGGCGTTTTCCTTGATAACAGGCTTACATTCGGTGAACATTTGGAATTACATCACGATTAAATCTTATAGAACATTGGGTTTCATCTTAAGTGTTTCTCGACCGTTTCCCGAAATATACAGTGTTAAAGCAGTATACTGCACATAGACACGTGGTGTTATAGATTAGGGTGGCGGTACATATTTGATATAGAATTACTCGGTGGCGTAGTGAATAAGCGCTGAGGCCCGCGATTGTTGTTGTTAATTAACTTTCGCAAGGGACAGTAACGGCATGGGTGACAAAAAAGTTTTATAATGTTGACCCTTTTAGTACTAGTCCGAGAGTTCGTGACAAAAATTTGCAAGAGCTTCCTAAGCTTGACACTTCAGTACGTGGAAATACTTTGGGTATACATCACTCAGTACCCAGTGCGGAAGTCAGGTGTTGGAACACCTCAGTAGCAAATGTTACTTTGTGTAAATATTTATATTTGCTAAATAGCAGAATTGATATTCGTATTCGTTGCATCACTTGTTACTATTAAAATTTTATGTATGATTTATGAAGAATTTAATCTTATTAACCACTTAATGAGTTAAGATTCTTCATAGTCTGTTATTTCTATTTTTTTCAAGCTACAATTACATTTGTATCGTGTTAATATACATTTTTTTGTATTTATATTTTTTACATTATGTTGTTTACCGAATGTACAAAGATTTTTTTTTATATATAATGTAGTTGTAAAATTACGCAGAAGTGATAATTAACGTTAGTATGACCGCCATTGTTGACTCAACTTTTTTGATAATTTAACGTTACGCAAATTAACTCAACCTTAAATTTTACTTGGGATAAATAACTTTTGATTATCTAATTTTGGATGGCTATCACCGACGTATTTAAATATACTTTTTGACAAGCCCGCTTGCAGTTATTACAGCCAACATCGGTACCAATACCAACATTACGTTTATAAGGTACAAATATTAACTTGTATTTTACTTGTATGTTAAATTATCATTAACGAATTCTAATTAATGCCCGTCTTCACTAAACTTAGGAATCGTCCAAATCTGACATCTAAATGTTTGAACATTGTCTAAGGTGACAATGCTCTTTACCAATGACAAAGAGTCACCATACGGCATTATGCAATCCTTTAAAGTTAGGATATTCACTTGCGTAATATGACAGATTCATTTACTCTGGTCATAAAGGATGTATTAAGGGACAAAATCAATTAACTTAGTTCGAATCAAGGAGTTTAATAGAATTATGATATTATAAACAACCAAATTTTCTGAATTGTCGGACTTTTTATAATTGGATAATGACGACTTGATCGTGTAAATACAAGACCAAGTATATTTTTTCTTGTTTATTACCTTAAAATATATATTTTCGTTATTGTATTTTTACGTGTAAAGGTTACTAACGTTACATTGATGAGATTGTGTAAACGCAAATAGGCCATACCTAAAAAAAGAAAATGAACCGAAATATGCAAAATCATAGACAAACATTAACTATCTTAGCGAGTGCTTAGTAAGGCATTACTTAACGTTACCGGTTTGGTGAAACGACAAATCTGTTTACGCTACTATTAATAATAAGTAATTTCTAGTTAAACTACTTATGCCTTGTTCTAGGTTAGTGAAAACGGGCATGAGAAAGATTAAAATATGTACTTATAATTTTTTGAATATTTAGTGGAACGTTACTCTCATGTTATCATTGAGAAATAACGGATAGCGTTTATTTTAACATTAAATTAGAATTACCATCTATTTGCCTTGAAAATTGACGTTTTACCTAGTGAATAATAATCAATATAAACATCTAAACCATTTTGCCATCCTACATCCATCTAAGACAATAAAAACAGGCGCTATGAAAGAAACTTAAATTCAATGCCATCTACATGGT